GTGTGTGCTAAATTATTTGTGTTCGACTTGTTTTTATTGTAAAATTTGTTCAAATCGGTAGTTATGAGTCGGTATTTATGTCTAAATTCGGTTGGGCCAATATTAACAAAGCTAAATTTACCGATTTAGTCCATTTCCAAGCCTTTCCAAAGTCAATATTTTACACTAATTTTAAAGTCATTATTCATCAAGCTTTGGTGCATAATAATGACTATTGAATTCAAGGAGTTTTCTTCGAATTTCAAAAAGACTTTTTAAAGCTTTGTTAGATTCAAAATTTCTAATTGTTAAATCCTATACAATTTAATTCAACTTTTTTTAAAAAATTTCCAATATCTTATTTAGGAAAAAAATAATACGCAATTTCGTTTCAATCTTTGAATCAAATCAACTTTTGTGAGAAAATTCACACCTTAGTTCTTTCTAGAACTGAATTTTAGAACTTATAATTAGTTTAATTCGATTCATTATTGTGTTCGAGTGACTTATCACTCCTTTTCTAACCTTTCTAGAGTGTGACATCTATATCCTTCTAATTTGATTTGGCTTTCTTGGATTTCTTCCTTCTTGTTCTTGAGTTCTCTAGCCATCGAGCTAGGCGGGTTCACATCTCTCTCTTTTTCTCTCTCTTTGTTTTTGTTTGTTTTTTTTTTTTTTGCAAATTCTTATCTAGATGTGCTACTTACGTTTGTATTCATTTAGTAGCATAATAGGTCGGGAAAGGTGAATCATGTAGTGTTGAGGATTGTTAACTTAGGAGTTGTCATCTTTGCTCATGGAGCTTTGAAGCTGAAATTAATTTAATTAAAACAAGGAGAGTGAAGAGCATTTACCTAATGAATTGAATCATACAAAAAATAGGAGGGATTATTTGGGATCAAACCACAATCGTAATGACTAGAGATTTCACTCTCGGGATTTTCTTGCTTCGTTTCAAAATTTCTCTTTTTTTCAAACTCCGGTACATTCCGTTATACCTAAAACTCTCTCTATGAACTTAGAACACTCAAGGTCCAAAAATCCTTTTTTCTCTAAAAAACTAGTTGAAACCCTAATTTTCCCTTTTTTTTAAACACCCAACAAAAACCTTAATTTTTCTTTTTTCTTCTCCTCCTCTTAAAACACTAAAATTCTTTCCCTATCTATATCTAAATCATATCGCCTCTCCACCCTTTGACTCTTCTCCTCTTAATCTTGTCCCATTACTTTGGGCCTATAGGCTTTTGGGCCTCGAGGACCTATAGGCTTCCATGCCCAAGCTATTGGCCTAGCGCACTTGTATATGCTTGATTTGTCAATACCCACTGGATCGGCATGCTTTTGCACGTCCGGCTCGCTATAGGGAGGGTGCACGCAACCGGTCCGCTCGTAGGCCTCGTTTATGTGTTCGTCTAACACTTGCTTAACATGTACGGGGCACATCTTGGCTTGGTACGTGACCGACCTTGGCCGAAGGCTTGGCTTGTCCCTCGCCCAATGTGCAACTAGCCTCGTTAGGAGGACCGGCTTGTCGTGTGCCTAGTGTGCGACTAGCCTCGCAAGGACTCGGGTTGTGCTCGGCCTATCATACGACCAATGAACAATCTGCCATCCTTCTTACTTATAAACACAAGCACCAATATCAAACGTTGGCCTCGCACGCCCTACTCCTGTAAGGCCCAAATTTTAGTTTTAATATATATATAAAATACCAAAAACACTAGATTTATAATAAAAAATTATTAATTCATGCATTTAATTATAATTAACAAAGCGTACAATCAAAGATTCAATAAAGGCTTTGATATCAATTGAAGGATCATGCATCTTATGGAGATGCGAAATAAAACAAAAACTTTTCCACCATCTAAGACTCTCAAGATCAAGTTCGTTGAATTAACTAACCATACATACATGAATTAAAGCATAAGTAAATGATTACCTCTTGTAACATAGAATTTAACACTTGCAAAAAGGAGTCATCAAAGTGTCCAACCTCTATCAATAATCCACGTAGTCCAATCATCCACACAAGAAGCATTAAGAAGTAGTAAAGTGCTAATTCTATCTTTTTCTAACTTGTTTAGTGTTTTCTCTTTTGAAATCAATTTAGGGATATTTTATGACAACCTTAAGAGATAGGGGAGAGGTGGCGTGTATGTATAGGAAGAGAAAATTATTTTCGCCCTTTTATTTCTTCTATCGTGTAGCCCTAGCTTAATCTCTCTTTTCCGCACCTCCCCTTATATTTATAGGGGGTGTCTTCCTTATCCTCCGAGGACTAGAAGTTATTATGCATATGGGCTTTTTAACTTATCCTCCTTATCGAATGAGTTTTATGTTTATCCTCACACCAAAAATATCTTATAGGCTTTTTAATTAAACCTATTGGTCCAAACTCATTTGACCCAATTAATTACTAATTAATTTGGACTATTCAAATAAATTAGGTTAGATATTTTTAGGAGGCTCACATTAGGAAGTAATTTTCCAAATTACCCTTAAACCTAAATTAGAAAACTAATTTTCTTTTTAGATAACTTAATTTCAAATTTGAAACTAACTTCCAAATTAGAAAAATAATTTCTAAAATAGAAAACTTTCCATTTTAGGAAACCTTTTCCAAAATAGGAAACTTTCAACATTGGAAACCTTTTCCTAAATATTTGCTTTTCTTTTATTATATAAATGCTTAAACTTATGCATGTGAATCAATAGGCTCCTAGAAATATTGACAATGTATTAAGAATAAAAGACACCGCTTTTATCTCTTGATACATAAATCAAGATTGACCTCTAGCAAGGTATCATGACTACCCAATTCTCTTGAAGGATTAAGTAATCTACAATTACTTTTCACAAGCATGGTTATCATACAATTCGAGTCTCATGCCAACTTATCATAGTGTGATCTCGAACTTGGTTATTAGTCCGTTTGATTATTATCACACAAGTTTTCTTCAATTTTCAAATGCTTTAGCTCTTAGAGTAAACCAACTATGCTCTATTAGTGTACTCCTAATATGACCATAGATTTCTTTAGCAGACATTGAAGTGCAATGTGATAACTCCTCTAGCATATAAGGAATGACATGTCTTATCTTAGTCATCCACCTACCTTCATTAGATTTCTAGTGCATCCAACGAATTGCCCACGTGCAATCTTTTATTGGATCCATCGAAACAAGTTCAAAGTACATAAATCCTCTAATGAGATAATCGTGATGATTTTAAGTCAAAGAACCAATTGTACCCATCTCGTATGAGATTCCCATAGACTAAACCAAATGGGTTATCATGGCGAGTCAAGTATAGTGATATATTCCGTAACATTAATCACCTAAGTGCTTGCTTTGGCATCACCATGTCAATATGTGTGAGATCTCCTACTCGCTAACTTATAACATGAACGTAACACTCACAAGTCTAACCACATATAGTTAATCTCCATTCTTGACAATGCTACGACTTGAGACATTTAATGATATCGGTTAAGTGTATTAATGTTTGTCTCATATCTTTCGATCAATCATTAGTATAAATGCATATCATATGGATTTCTATCTAATTCTATTAAATAAATAAATATAAATGATAAGAATTAATAGAAAATTTTTTTTATTATTAATAAAATAAATAATACAATGTTACAATAACTCAAATCATTCAATTAAGGTTGGATCTTTGATACCTATAGTAACAGTTCTTATGATGACAATGGCAATTCTTCTTGATTAAAACTTTTTCAGCAAAAGCTGTGTGTGTGTCTTTGTTTTGCTTGGAGAACAAAGAAAGACAAAAGATGCCTTCTTTTGTTTAATTATATGCATAAGTTTTGGGCGGGAATTTTTCCCCAAAAATGTATCAGACTTTTATTTATTTATTTATTCATTTTTCATGTCATTTACAAGTGGCTGCCACATCATTGCCACTTGTGAAGGAAGTTCCACTAACGAGTCACATGCCCATATAACAAGAAAAATTAACGAAAATCTAATGTACATACTTGATTAAAAAAACAATGCAACTTGGTTTACTCAAAAAAAAAAATAAAATAAAAAAATAAAAAAGACGTATTTGATTAGAAAAAATTTATAACTTAATATACTAGAAATGTAATTAATCTATGAATGTATTAAGAAGAAAGCATTCTATAGAAACATAATACTTTTCCTTGTTTGAGATCTGCAGCAACAACTCAATAATCTTTTATTTTTCTTTCCTTAGCTAATAAAGTGGTATCGAAGCCTCTTAAGAGCTTGAATCTTTGCAAAGAATTTGCAGGTCTGTTTAGTAATTTAAGTAGAAAATATTTGTGTAGATAATAACAGCTTCTGTTGGAGAAAATTCTAATGTCTCAAACTCTAGTCTTTTGATTTTTAGAGGAGAAAACTATGAAGTTTGAAAGGTAAAAATAAAACTTTACTTCTGTCAGAAAAGTTATGGACTATTATTGAAAAATGTTGTAATGAGCGAGCTGAAGACAACCAACTTACAAATGCCCGACAGGTGAAGGTTGAAGGCAATAGGATGAAGGATGCCGCGTGTTATTTTTGTCAGAAAATTAGATGGAAAACTATTGAAGAGACTACATTAAGAGCATTTAAATAATAGAGGGATGCCATGAAAAGAGAATAAAGAGATTACATGAAAAAAAAATGTAAAGAGACTTTCGATACGATTAATCCTTCAATCATTCAAATGTATTAATTAGAGGTGTCATTTTCTAAGAGCTTAGTTGATGGATTAAGAGTTTGGATGACAACGTGAGAAATGTTCTATAATTATAGAGACCAATAGGAAATATTTTGTAAGAAAAACAGGGAACTGTTTGTTCATTTGGACGTCAACAGAGCTGATGACCTAAACATAAGTTCAAACTAGTAACATAAAACTAAAAGCATTCCAAATCTCTCACTCAATTTTTTTTTTGGTGAGACGACTAACCCCACTTTGGGGTGACCATAACAGATATATTTACAAGAAACAGTTGCCTAAAAGAGACCCTTAAGTCTTAACTGCTAATTTAAGCTTCCAGCAAAGTACGCTAAAGGTCCAACCATAGCAGCATTGATGTATGTAGCAGGCTCAGAATGACTATAATCGCTGCGTTCATCTGGGTAGCCATCGTTCTGGTTCGGACCACCAACAATAGCTCCGGTTAAGATGTTAGGATTAGGATTTCCTGAATGGTAGAAAGGATCAAAACCACCATCACAACCTATAGCTTGGGGGTGGCTTGCCATTGATGGCAAAGAAGAACCTCTATGATGAATTCTCCTTGGAAAATTGGGTCCATATCCTACCATGTAGGACATTCGAATTGGGTTCTCCCCTAGTATGTAATCCACCTATAAAATCCAATTAAGTTAATTAGTAGAATAACAAAAATGAGTCAGGAAAAGAAATATATTATGGATTAATCTAATTCATAATAATAATAATAATAATAATAATAATAAAACAAAAAGGTTTTTGTAACTTGCCTGTCTTTTAGCCACATAAATCAGGGAATTTGGAGTGACCAAGAGATTGCCACAGTCGAAGGTGTGCTTTGTTGCTTTCATGTACTTAGCGTAAGTGGTGAGCAAGAATGTTATGGATGTAACATATTGGAGGTTGCTTTCAGGTAGCTTGTACATGAGCCCTCCTGCATCACAATTAAGTGGCCGTGTTGGATAAAATTTTTAAATGTTTGAAACAAATAATATATAAAATTTCTTCAAGGAAATAGAAATAAGAAGCAAAAAGATTTTGAAATACATAGGTATTTTTACCCTGTGTATATTGTGTAGTTTTAAAAGGTGAGTTGGGTAAAATACGGCACATGAAATTTTCAGCTTCTCCTTTAAATTGCTCAAAGTTTTTGTCATTGTTCAACAATGCTCGCTGCAAAAGAAATGACGATACTCAACTTTTTAAATTAGTCTATAAATAAATGGGAAGAAAAATGTATTCATGTTGAGTAGATAAATATTGTAAATTCAAGTCATCAAGTGTTGTCACTTACCCTTGACAGAAGAACATGAGCACCAGCATACTTGTTGTCCCAGCTGAATAGGTCTGGTTGGTCATCAGCTCCCAAAGACTTGAAGATATTGAAGTAGGACATCTCATTTGTTGCCCTGAACAGCCATGCAGCTCCCCACAGTAGTTCATCCTGAAAAACGTCGCCAATAAGAATATTCTTTTCGCTACAATCATTTTGTCTATGAGATCAAGATAGTAGATGAACAAATTTATTCTCGACATTAATACCGAACTTATCCAATCCCAAGCAACTATTTCCATTCTTATATTCAATCACTTGAGCACTTAGAATTTTTTTTTTTTTTTGAAGTCAACTGCTCATAAAAAAGAGTTTTTCAAAAAATCTAGTTTTCCATTTCCTACCCCAGAAGCTCAAACCTTACAGAGAACTAGACTTGGACCAAATCTGGTGCATAATATACTATAGCTTTCTCCAACTATGGGCCTAGTAAGTATGTATTCTGGCAGGCCCACTAGAAGAGAATCGGTAAAAATCTCATTATCATTTTTTTTTTAAAAAAAGAGGGGGGAAGGAAATTTTGTTTTTCAATTGCTAGAAAATCTTACCTTATAACCAGAATATGAGCAATAAAATGGGCACACTGCTGATCCAAGCGAATCACTATAGGCACCTTGGTATTGCATGGCAAATTGAAAAACCTTCCTGGCTGTCCTCAGTAGCAAACTTGAGTATTTACGATCCACTTTTCGAAAAACCATCGAAGCAGCTGCTAATGCAGCTGCCGTCTCACCGGCAACATCCGAGCCAGGGCTGCTAGCCGAGACTGAATACACTGTTCGGACGGTGTCCATATCCTCAGGCCTCTCCCAACACTTGTGATCAACATTGGGATCACCTACACCAACATAAAGCTTGCCAGGGGTGGCAGTGGCACATTTTAGAAGATAGTCTGTGGCCCAGCGAATTGCAGCCCTTGCATTTGATAATTCAGGGCCCATTCTTTTTCCATACTCAAGCGTGCTCCAAGAGAGCATTGTAGTGGTGAAGGCCATTGGGAAATTAAATTTGACATTGTCTCCAGCATCATAGTACCCTCCTGTTAAATCCACCTGTTTAAAATGATAAATGCGGTTTGTTTTAGAATCATTTCATGAAGGAAAACTTAAAATCTTGACTGTAATAATAATAATAATGGTTACTTACGTGGGCAAACAAACCATCAGAGAGGCCAGAATTGGACCTCCAAGTGATTTGTTCCGGTGGGGGCAGCCTCCCTGACCTCTGACCTTGAAAAAACAATAAGGACTTAGCTAGGGCATCCTTGTAATTGGGATTGGCTTGGGCAAAACCCAAGAGTACAAGTGACAATGAAAACAAAAGGCAGAGAGAAGCTCCCCTTCTCATTGTCATTGTCATTGGTGCCCTAGTTTGCTAGTAAGAACCAAAGTATTGCTTTGTTTGATTTTTTATGACTTTGATTCACAATGACATTCCTTTATATACATATATATATATAAGAGAAAAGTCTGACGTCTTATGGGGGAGCTTTCCCATACCGCAAATCAAGGCTTTTCCATTTAAGACTTCCCTTGTCTATTCTTGTTGAGTTTAACAATATGCAATTATTTAAGGGATTTGATATAATTAAGATCAAACTTTGTCTGAGGATCTTCGAGTTTCTATGATGCAAAAGTTGCCCATGCAATGCATATAGTAATTATGTATGACCAATAAAGTAAATTTGTTATATTAAAAGTCAATTGAATGGATCTTTGCGGTCTTTAATTATTGTAGGAATTTTCTTGAATTGAATTCATGATAGTTTTCGAATTACTACAACTTAAGAAACAGAGTACAGACAATATATTTTTTATTTGAATAATGCTAATTTTACTCAATATTTTTTATAAGTCTTTTTTGTAAAAAACAAAAATCTCATACTTAAATAAATGGATTTTATAAATCTAGTATTAAAAAAAATGGAAATAAATTAAGGAAAAAAAACTTTGGGTAAGAGTAACATTACTCTTTTTAGTTCCTGGTTATGTTTACGAGACTAGGCCAAGTCACTTTTTTTTTTTTTAAATGTTTATTAAGGAACTTATCAGAGCCATACCAAATGGAAAATAATCTAGTACTTCGGCATTATCACTAATTATTTACTCTTTCCACTTAAATTAGGCTATATGTGCTGATTGACAATCACGTATTTGATATGATTTTTATCTTCATTTACATTTTTTTTTCTGTTTTCATAAATCAATTAAATCATATTATTTTTAACGTCATTATCAATCAATACATGAAGATGATGTTTGACTTAAATAAATAGAGTACGGAGTAGTCAATACTCGAGAAGTACTGGAGTATTTTTCATACAACAAGGATCAATCCTTATGTACATGAGCATGAGTTTAACCTAAATCATATCCTTCTAATTATGAACATAAGTTTAACCTAAATCACTTGATATGAAGATATGTAATTTCATGGTTGGGATTAAGGATGGCAATTGATGAGCTATAAAATAGATATTCATTTTATACGATCTAATAAATATATATTAAAAATATCAAATGAGTACTAAAATGGATAAAAAAACAAAAAATACATACCTACTAATATAATTTTAAAGTATGAGTACTCACTTTTTATCCTATTAATACACACTAATTTATTTTGATTTTTTATTAAGATTCAGAAATCTAATTACATAAATTTTTAAAAAAGGACCAAAGTTATTCTTTTCAAAAACTTTAAGGACCAAAAAGCTTATAAAATGACCAAAAAAAAAAAATTACATTTGAAAGACTAAATGTTTTTTGAAATTTATAGGGCTAAAATGAATATTTTTTCAAATTATTTTTAGCTGGTATTAAATGAATACTAAATGAATGGATACTATGTGGATCAGATATAGACTAAGTAAAGATTTATATGATAATTTTTTAATAGATAATGGATGTTGTTCCTAGAACACAAAAGGAATATAATTAAATAATAAAAATTGATATAATAAATAAATAAATTTATTGTAAATTAAAATAAATAAAAAATAAAAATTTTTTTACCTTGATCATTAGAAAAATTAATGATTAAAAATCACATTACCATATTTTGTGGTATAAAGATGACCGAACCACCAAAATAGTTTTACAAAAATTTTTAGGTGACTAACTCGAGACACAATCAAGTTATTGTTTTAAGACAATATGCAACTTCGCAGAATTTATCTAATGCAACGGATAAAGAATATATTGCATGCTATTTCGGAGATACAACAAACTCAACCACTTTGTTGTATCGTAACAAGTTTGCATCACTTGTAAGACTTGAAACTCAATTATAAACTAGCACCACTCTTAACTAAAGAAAAACTAACAAAGAACAATATGGCTTTAAGTGGGAAACAAAAATAATAAAATTGAAAGAAACTTTTTCTCTCTAAGAAAAATAAAGAATAAATTGCTTGCTATATTTTTTTTTCACTCTCCACAAAGCAAGAAAAATGCTATTGTTGTTATGTGTCTCATCAAATGGAAAGAGCCATTTATATAGGAAAAAAAATTGTCCATTGGTTGATTGAATTAATTGAAAAAATAAATGAATTAAACTATAAAAGAAAAAAAACGTTAAGAAAAAAAAACGTTGGTTTATGAATTAAAGAGAAAAAGAAAAATTGTTGCAAGTGTAGCCTCTTAAAACATTCAATGTATAGGTTACTATTTTGAAACAATAACTTATACAACTTCTCTTTAAGGTATAAGTTACTATTTCAAAACAAGTAACTTATACCTCTCTCTTTTTTTAATAAATATTTTATTAAAAAATAAGTGGATATTAAAAAATATTCCAACAATCTTCAACTTATTTTTTAATAAAATATTAGCCATATTTTTGAATAAGTAAACGAACATAATACATAATAAGGGTGCCAATGGCTTGAACTCTTACTTAGTGTTTCAACAACATTTTTCTCAAGCTAATAGTAAACATTGTTTTAAATTAAGGCTTTTTTTAAATGAAACAAATATTGTATCACATATATTATATTTAGATACTCTACAACAAGTTTTAGAGCCATCACATTAACGACTTTATGCTTGATCTCGACTTTTATGAGTGTTTTGGAGAATTAGCCCGATTCTCATTGGAAACGGTTCCATTTCCTCACTCATATAGGTGTGTCTATCAAGGATGCTCCCATAACTTTAACATCCCATTTAAAAAGAACTATAGATCACATTAAAAGTTTCATTTAAAGAAACTTAACCTCTATTTCGTTATGAGATTTATGCACTATACCATAGGGATAGACATATGAGTATTGTAACTCAAATATTTTATGCATGTAATCAAACAACTCTATGCTTGTATTTCTCTTTGAACCTAATTCTTGGGATCTCCAGTCTCTAGGTAGAGTATCCACATAGGTGATTTTATTCATTTATGGGCTTAGTCTCATTCCCTTCAATGTATCATCCAATCTTTTGACTTTAGCTAAAGATTTACTCCCATAATACTCAATATACATGCAAAGGATTAGGTAACTAGCACTTAATCAATTTATTGATGCTAAAACAAGTGGTAGGAATTTTTCATCCTTACTATTTTAGATAAAGCAAAACATCCACTTGTTTTCTTTTTCATTGGCATCTGTTTGCTTTTTCATTATCTTTAACTTTTTAGCCAATTTAAGTTTCACCACACATATACTTGAGCCAATAGTAAACATACTATTTATTTTCCACATCTCAATCATTATGCTAAAATATGATGGCATCATTATATTTTCTAATACAATGAAAAATATTTAATATAATCACATGAGGTGAATAGGGATATTTTCTGATCTATAGTTTCTCATACAAATTTGGCATCGTTGTATCTCATCTATACAATAGGAATGTCAATATTTAGCTAGAGATTTAAATTTCTCAAAATATCACCAATTGTCTTAGTAGACAATATCATTGCAATACCATTATATCTTAATTATACAATAGGAGTGTTTCTAATTTCACTTATCAAATAATATTATCAAAACATTATTGTACTTTAATTATACAAGTAGGAATGTCACTAATTCCATCAATTCTCTCAATATTGTTTCCAAATATTCCATAGCATCATTACACCTTTTGTATAATAGGAATGCTTTTATTAATATTTTCAATAGCATCACATTAAAAATTTACATGTGGCAAAAAAATTCAAACATCATAAGAAAAATTATGATTGATAAATTATTTATCAAAATTGTAATGACAACTTCAAAAGCAATCACATAAAAATAATTAGCTTTCAATCATAATTGATTTTAATTATATTAATACATGACCTTTCAAATCTTAATAAATCAATCATGTGAACCAACCTTTTGGTAATATTTAATTTACAAAATATTCAATAACAATATTTTATATGATAATTCACATTTCCCTCTCCATTTTTTTCAGATTAAACACTTAAGCATGGATCAATAAATATCCATACAAAAATCTAAAATTACTTGCAATCACAACTATCACATATTTTCATCATCAAAAGTGAATATCAAATATATAGAGCAAAAATCAAAGTACTTTAATAATTCAACATTTAAAATACTTATTTGACTTTTTATACTTATCATATCATAGGTATCGTTGGAGACTTGAAATAATTTTTGTATTAACCAAGCTTCCATTGCCTCCAATGCCACATAAATTTGATTTTCTTGACTTTGCATCCAATATGATCAATATATCTAAATAAAAATATTAGATATATTTTCTTCGTTAGCTTCTTATTTAGCTCGGTCACATAACATCACAACATGACAAGTAAATTTAATGTCAATTATCATTGAACAATAGAAATCAATTTATACATAAATTTTCAAATTATTTAAATTTGCATCAACAATAAAATTCACACAAATAAATTAACTCGTATGGTTAATGTCACAAATATTAATTTTCAACACTATCAATAATATTGACCTTGAATAATAATATTTGATAGGTAACCGTAAGGTACAAAAAATTAACATTACAGATCAATATATTTGTCATGCAATTTATCTCATAAATATGCACATAAAATATATTAGCGAGAAAAATGATATATATTTTTCCATTAAACATGATCTTGATATCTCATTAGCCACATGGTAATGATAATTTCATTTTATTATTTTTTCAAGAGCAATGCAATCACTCAAACAGGTGACTAACATTGAAAGATATTTATTGTCTTTAAAGCTCAAAAAATTAACAATATATGCATATTTTCACATTTAAAGAATTATCAATTCATCCATAAAAATATATGGTCTTGAAGTAAGAATAAAATAAGACAATAAATGAAATTTTTTTTCCACATGGCTAATTAACATCTACAAATTTATTTTCAATTAATGAAATTTGCTAAAT